TTGAAGACTTTGCAGTCAAATACTTACTTTGTGATCTAAGATATTTAAAAAAGATACTCATTTAAGAAATAAAGTTCGTTAATCATTTAGAAAAAATTCTCGAAAAGCAGATTTTCTTTATAATATTACTTAGCATGACTTTATATAATAATAATTTATATAATAAATATATTAAATTTTTCTAATGTCTCTACAGTTTTGTATTTGGCCTATTTATTGTTGCCATAAACGCATAAAATTCGCAATCTAGTGATAACTATATTAAATAATATTGTCAAAGTAAACGCCGCTGCAAGGAAGGATTACAAAATCTGCATCGCTTTTAAAAGACTAAAACTAAAGAGACTAAACTTTTAAAGACTGAAACTTTTATAATAATTTTAATAAATTCAAAATTATGTACGGATAGTCTGAAACTGTTACAATTTTTTTTACCGTTCGAATTTCATCTATTTATTTTTTGGTTTGCAATGCATACAAAATATATTGTTTCCTTTCAAATGAAATTATTTTCTAATGTATTCTTTTCGAGACAAATTATTTATGCTTTCTGTTTTTCTCATCAAGCAAGAAATAATATAAAATATACGACAAACAAAACAATGAATTACATATAAAGTTTTAAATGACTTTAATGATTACAGTGTTTCGCGATTATGGGTGCTGGGTTCGCGGTGCTTCATTAATTTGAAAACTGAAATCCAATAAAACTTTGACGCTCCGTCGACTTGTATATCGTTCCCACCACTGAAATCTTCATCCGAGTTTGTTATCCCGGTGGCAAGATGAAATTTCCGCGCGAAGTCACCATCAATTAGGCGCAGACGCCGGTGGCGTATAAAATTCGACCTGAATCGCTGGAAGAACTATGAAAATATGTCGCACGGGGTCAACTAGGCTCCCGTTGTATATCCCGAGAAGCGAAACACGCTCGATATTTTCGCAATATTTAAACACAATCTATATTTCCGAGCGATGCAGACGATCGCAAAAAATGGCAATTTAAAAGTTCGTTAAAATTGTTAATCTGTACGACTCTAATTCTGCTCACTTCAACGTGTACCATGAATTATTCAAAGCCGGTATGAATAATGTATAACGAACTATAACAACAATAACAATGTGGATTATGGTACAGAGTATAAGCAATTTCGTATGTAAACGAACGCAATAATTAGACTACGGATCTTTATGCATTTATGATGTGTGCAAATTTGCAGAATAAAATTAATAATATGTTCATACGTTAATAATAATCCGTTCGTTTCAGATTTTATAAAATCATACGCATAAAGATTACAAAATCTGGTAAAGAAAATTTCGTAAAATCAGTCATCGGACGATACGACATTTGAAGCGACGTAATATTATTAATCATGAACAAATACGGTCTTCACGAATCAGAAAAACAATAAGCCGACACAGGTCGAAGCAACGTTAAATAAATGACGGGAAAAATCAAACGGCTCGTGTTCCATTCGGAAGAAGCGAAACGTGAAGCAAATACAGTATCGGGAACAAACGAGTCGGTGAAAAACTGCTGTGCATTTACCAACATTTGTATGTACCCGCGTGTTTAAACATTTGCGAAAAAATAAACACCATTGACCCAAATGTTTGCCGTGTACGAAGCCAGAGCTTCGTCCGGATGTTACCGGCGCGACGGCCGCAGTGAAAAAATATGAGAAGTTGTCCGCGGAAGAAAGCGGAAAATCGTCGGGGATGCGGTCCGTTTAATCTTCGCGCAAAGATTACACGCGCCACTTGCGCCGACTTTCAGTCACCGGAACGAGCCCGGAAACGCGTCTCCCGCAAGTTTTAATGAGTCTCCTTGAAAAGGAGGGCCAATACCGTTGACTAGGGATGGGATCGACTTCAGTGTGCGCTTCCGAATTCTGACTCTCTTGGTTCATATACATTCCGTTTCATAAGCTTCGAACCGCGCTCAAAAGCGTCTCAATGAGTGTTTGCGAGCTACTCGTTTTGCATAAATTGCTTCTGAACGCCAAAGAGAGTACCTGCAAATCAAGATTATCATCATTGACAACTGCATACCGTTTGCGATCGCAACACCTCACGGAATCATTTGTTCCATCTGAAGTATTTTGAAACTGATTTAACCCTTTGCAGTCGAAGTTATTTTAACGTCAAGTCCAAGACAGTACTTCTGACCTATAGTATTGCTACTTTTAATAATTATTTTCCTATTGTGCATATAACGTTAAGCTTATTTGTTCATCAGCCTTTTGCACTTGAAACGATTTATTAAATATAGATAAATTTAATAATGCAAGAATTATACTGAAGAATGATGTAGGAATTTTCAGTGGCGCCTTAGAGTCGCCGTTCGACTGCAAAGGGTTAACTATAATCATTTACGATTCATTATTTCGAATTATAGTAGAATTTAGGAACAGAGCTGTACCATCGGAAGTATTTCTAAATTGATTTAATTATAATCATCCACAGTTCACAACTTCAAATCATAGACTTTGGGAATAGCTTGTCCATCCGAACTATTTTGAACATGATTTAATTATAATCATTTACCAATTACTATTTCAAATCGTAGTACATCTTGGGAATTCCTGTTTCATCGGAACTATTTCAAAATTGATTGAATTAGGTATAACCATCTACAATCCACTATATCAAACCACAGTACATCTCGGAAAATTCTGTTCCATCGGAAGCATTTTCAAAGATAGGAAATTCAAAGAAAGCGAAACACAGTAAATTCTTCTTAATTGACGTTCAGCTTGTATGCAAAAATGGACAATTTGCGGAGAAGCGATACGATTATTCGAGCCTTGCGGCTCGTTTCTATAGTTACCGATTGTCAACAACGATAAGAACGAGCCGCAAAGATGGAATAATCGTATCTCCTCCTCCTAAATTGTCCATTTTTGCTTCCAAGCTGAGCGTCAATTAGGGAGAATTTACTGTAAATTTCTTTTATCTACGGTAATATCCAGTCTTCTAAGTCGTGCAGTTTAACTTTAAATTCAGTCATCTAGTTATTGTATAATTGCACTGTTCGACAGTTCTTACAATAAATAGATGACTGAATTTACATTTAAACTGCACGACTTAGAAGACTGGACATTTCTGATTGAAGTATGCGGAATTTGTGAGTATCGGCGGTCTCCTATCTGATTAAGATTTTGATGGCAAATCGATACTGTCTTAGCCGGGAATGGGGCCGCTATAATCGAGATCCTCTGATCCCGGGCATTTTAAGTTCGCCATCCGCGGTTCTAGCACGTCGCACATAATCATTCGAACCATAGAGAGGTTTCGCACTTTGCTCCACTTTTCGGAGGCAATTATTATAGACCTCGTTCTTTATACATTCGATTTTCTTCAACCAGCTATAGAGGCACAAGAAAACTTTAACGAGATCCTGATCTGCTTTGCGGCATTGTGGAACTCTTAATGGGCCGGAGGAACCTGCATCTCATTCTAATACTTCGGGAAAGTTTGCAATCGGTGGATAGAATTATAGATCATGCGGAAAATCACCGGAATAATTTTGCATAATAACAGAACCATTTTAATTATATCCAATATCTTTGGAATTCAAAGAAATTTTTATCACGAATGAAATTAAATATTTTTTAGAGCGTTAATGTGCGAAACGTAGTAATTTTAGATTGTCGAACGTGTTATCAACATAACTTCAGAAGTAATTATCTGTCTATAAATACATAAAAACCTATACTTCCTTTTAGCGAAACTTGCAATTTACTGTCATCATTCCTGCGGATCTTTAAACAAAATAAAAGTTGTATGTTGTGTTTTAATAATTTTAATCAGCTGAAAATAATACAACAGTGTGTATACATTTTTCAAATAAATTTTACTATTTTGCAATCGATCTACCCACTTTTGTCGCAAACGTATAAAATCTGTATTCTAATCGTCGCGTTCGAAGAAGGATGAAGATAGTCTTTAAAAATAGACTAAAATAAATATAAATATATATATATATATATATATATATATATATATATATATATTTATTATATATATACT